TTAGTAGAGACACAGTTTCCCATGTTGGTCAGGCTGGTCTTTAACTCTTGACCTCAAGCAATCCACCCACTTTGGCCTCCCAAAGTGCTGGAACCTCTGCACCCGGCCCCAAGATGTCTTTTATTTGGCCAACACTGTAGGTTCAAGACAGGGATTACTTTGTTGTCATTTTCATTCTTTCCCCTTAAAAAACCAGTACCATTTTAGTGAGGTATATGCATATACCGCACCATTCATCCATTTCAAGTGTACAATTCGATGGCTTTTAGTACCGCAGAGTTGTGTATCTATCACCACAATCAATTTCACAACATTTTTATTACCCCAAAAAGAATATCCCACTTCCCCTCACTTAGTCTTCACCTCCCAGCATCCCATCCCCTCCTCCCGAGCCCCTGACAACCACTGATCTGCTTTCTGTCTCTCCGCATTTGCTCAGTCTGGACATTTCACATAAAAGGAATCACACAACCCAAGGTCCTCTGTGACTCACACATCCGTGCTGCGCCAGACAAGCAGAACTTCATTCCTTTTTATAGTCCATTGCACAGATATGGGTGGTTTGTCATTTTAATGCCTTCAGTCAGGGCATTGTCTTTGCAATTCATTCCCCATCTTCTTTTTCTTTAACTATCTGACCCCTGAAGGCATCAGCCAGTTGGTGACATCAGCTAAGGTCCATGCAGCAGGCACCCAGGAGTTTGCTGACTGAATGTGTTCGTAGGATGAATTTCTCTCCTACCTCCCACCTGCCGGCTGGCCCTTCCCCCATCACAGCAGAAAGAGGAGGGGACAAGAGATCAGGCTCTGTCTCGCCTGGCTTGACTGCTGCTGAGTCTCTCCAGCACTTTCGAGATGCTGCAATTCAGGAAGAAGGCAGGACAAAGACCAGCCTCATATCTGATGCCTCACCATCCATAGCCTCTCAGCCTCAGTTTCCCCATGCAAAAACAAGGAGAACTGCATGTCCCCCTGGTAGGGTGTGCACAAGCCTTAAACAAAAAAACCATGCGAAGACTGTGGCTCCGTACCTGCGAGTAGGTGTTCATAAAGAAATACCCATTCACCAGGCACAGTGGCTTACACCTGTAATCCCAGCACTTTGGGAGGCGAGGCAGGTGGATCACCTGAGGTCAGGAGTTCGAGACCGGCCTGACCAACATGGTGAAACCTCACCTCTAACTAAAAATAAAAAAGTTAGCCAGGCATGGTGGCGGGTGTCTATAATCCCAGCTACTCAGGAGGCTGAGACAGGAGAATTGCTTGAACCTCGGAGGCAGGGGTTGCACTGAGCCCAGATTGCGCCATTGCACTCCACTCTTGTCAACAAGAGTGAAACTCCGTCTCAAAGAAATATCCATTCATCTTATTTTTAAAGAAAAATACATTCATATAAGTATGCAATTGTGTGACTGCTGCCAATCCCCAAAATAACCCACATTCACCCCAAAATGGGAGTAAAATAAATAAAATCTCTGTTGAGATTTCCGCTCCCGGCTTGCTGCAGAGCCCACACCCCGCTGCTGCCAGCAGTAACACCGCACTTTCCGTGGCTTTACCATCCTCCTGCGCCTGCCTCCTTGCTCTGTGGCACCCACCATGTCCATTTTTTAAATTACAACTAAATGGCTTTACAAGAAAACTTTAGAAAGTGTATGAAATTCAATACACTGCTAATGCAATGGTCACATTCCATTTCAAAGATATCATGCATTCGTGGACTGCCTTTTACTCTTAACTTCCAAATATAGCAAAGACTTTGACATCAGTAAAGAATACCACTCTGCCAAAACACACACATCTTCGTCTTCCACTCCAGGGCACCTCAGAAGCAGGAAACGTTCATCAGCTCCCAAAAAATGTTACCGTGTTTTTTTTTTTTTTTTAACTGCAAAGAAAACACCTATCAAAAAAGTCATTCCTGACCAGGCACAGTGACTCACACCTAAAATCCCAGCATTTTGGGAGGCCAAGGTAGGTGGATCACTTGAGGTCAGGAGTTCAAGACCAGCCTGGCCAAGATGGTGAAACCCCATCTCTACTAAAAATATAAAAATTAGTCAGGCATAGTGGCAGACACCTGTAATTCCAGCTACTTGGGAGGCTGAGGAGGGAGAATTGCTTGAATCTGGGAGGCAGAGGTTGCAG